ACTTGGTAGCCCAGGCTGGCCTCGAACTCACAGAGATCCGCCTGGCTCTGCCTCCCAAGTGCTGGGATTAAAGGCGTGCGCCACCACCGCCCGGCCAGCAAGTTAGTTCTTACCTTCACCTGTTTTGTTTTTAGAGCAGTCTTGCTTCTGACACTTCACTGCATACTATATCCAGGTTAGGTGGCCTATGGCTTTGGGGTAATTCTCCTCTCAGCCTGTGGTCTCTCCATAGGAATGCTGGGATTTGTTTTGTTTTAGTTTGTTTGAGGTAGAGCCTCTTTATGTAGTCTCGGAACTTGCTGGGTAGCTATCCTGAACTCCCAGAGGCCCACTGACCTCGTTCTCCAAAGTGCTTGGATTAAAGGCAAATGTCCCCATCCCCATCTCCTACTTTTTAAAAAAGTGGATTTCCTGCTTCACTTTTCTAAAATGTGGGTTCTGGGGATTTGAACTCAGGCCACTGGACTTGCGCCTTCTCCCTGCCCCTGCAGTTCATAGTTGAGGCTGCTCAGAACAGTGGGCGTGAGAGGGGAGAAGGTTCTGTGGTCTCTGTGCCTGTCCCTTGTTGGTCTTTTCTACTTTCTCCAGTGCCTGTGTCCAAACAGGTGTAAATGTCAGTGTACCCCATCTCTTCTTCACCTTCAACCAGCCCAAGAAGACTTTGCCTCTCACCACCAGGAAAACAGAATTTTCTCCCATTCAGAAACCTGAGTGTTTGGCCACTTCCTAGTTCTTAGTTCCCCCCATCATGTCGCTGTCTAACTTCTTGGCCAAGCATCCCATTGAGAAGTTCACAGTGGCTCTCCACTCTTACCCAGACCTGGCTCCTCCCTGTTAAGGCCATTAGTATGCACTTTGCACTCTGAATTTGAGATGTGTGTTATTGTGGGAGTATTGGGACTATGGCACACTGATTCCTGAATGTAAGTCACCATTCACAGTGTTAACACCTCCCGCTGAGCCAAGGTTAGGCTCACTATTGCATCACTGTGCAAACAATATGACAGTGTGCTTTCTGTTACTCCTAGTAGATGCTCCTTCCTGCTGTCCGATGTCTGTGCTTCCTTAGCCTCCAGCTGCTCCCTTGGTGTATCTGCAGACCTAGATTGGATGAAGCACACCTCTCAGATCTCCTCAGCTAAACTTGCAGTGTGTAATGCTCTCAGCAGGGACAGTGAGTCCTGCTCATTGCTGGCCTAGAGCGGGGCCAACTGTAGTCTTTGGTGCCACACAGGACAAATTAGCTGTTCGTCCAGAGGTCAGCCACAGCAGGAAGACCAAACCTTCTAATTTTGTAAAATCTTCCCATTGATTGCTGCTTTGAAATCCTGTGCCATTGTGTTGGGGTGTGGTTGTTGAGCATGCACAGGTTTGGAGGTTACTGTGATCACCCCTGTACTGTGGCACATAGTGGAAGGTGTGAATCCTTGTGGTACAGCCCAGGGTCAATTGGGAACAGGATGGAAGAGGAAAGTGAGTGATGCCTTACAGTACAGATATTTAAAAACTCCTTTTGTGCTTGTGAGCATGTTTGTGTGCAAATCCAAGTGTGTTTGTGAAGTCAGATTGTAGGAATCAATCCTCTTTACACCATGCGGGTACTAGGGTTAGTAACATCAGGTTTGGCAGCAAGTGCCTGTAACTGCTGAACCACCTCACTAGTCCATAGAAAGAATTTTCAGTAGAACTCATCTTAGTCGAGAGGAAAGCCAGGTAGGTAGATCCACAGTTTGATCTAGTTCAGTTCTATGACTCAGTTTTCTCATCTTTAAGATGGGGTGTCAGATGCCTCTTTGGCAAAGTTGCTGTCACTTTGAATGTCAATGGGCAGCTCCAGGCACTGGTGGGAGGTGTCAGCATGTGTCTTCAAGTCCTAGCCTATGACTTTTACTAAGAGGTGGCAAGCTTTACACGCTTGTTTCACTGGATGCATCCTGCTGCTTCTCTGGAGCCTATAGTAGTTTACTTTCTCAAAAAGATGAGCCATGTAAAATTACTGTGCTCCTGCTGTGTTTGTGTGTATTGCACATGTGCACATATACATTTAAACAATGCAAATTAACTTTGTCATTTGACTTTTGGACACTAGTCTAGGACCTGCCAGTACAACTGTTTTGGTTCTTGTTTGTTGTCATGCATGGGAGTGAATATCACATGTGCCCATTAGTGTTTCATTCCTGTGAAATGGTTTAAAAGTCAAGGAGGCATCATGGCATGACCCTGAATTGGAGCCTAGATTGTGTGTTGATCATAAGCATGCTGTTTCTGTAGCAAAGCAGACAGGGTGCTCCTAGATGACTGAAAACTAGGTCCCCCCAGTTAACACTTATGTGTTGTAAACAACAGACTGAGTATGAGGGAGTATGTTCACTGTAGCCATTACTGTTACAGGATTCATTATGGGATGTGGGAAGAGCCTGGGCCTTCTATGTAGATGAGGCTAGCCTTAGACTCACAGAGGTCGCCTGCCACTGCCTCTTGAGTGCTTGGATTAGAAGGTGCAACGCCTTGTAAGGCTAGGTTTGCTTTTGTTTTTGTCTTTGAGACAGTCTCGTGAAGTCCACACTGGTCTAGAACCTACTGTATAGGCTGAGGCTGACTTTAAACTCCTGATCCTTCTGTATCTGTCTCCCAAGTGCTACAACTGCAAGGATGTGCCACCATTCATGACTTCCTTGTCTTTGTTTTAAAAATGCATTTCTAGATAGGCCTGATGGCATGTACTTGTAATCCCAGTGCTGAGGCAGAAGGATTGCTGTGACTTTGAGGTTAGTCTGGGCTGCATAGTATCAGGCCAGTCAAAGCTACAGAAAAATCCAGTGGTGGTGAAGATGGGTAGTTGTAGAAAATGGCAGTCACAGTTTCTTTTTCCTTTTCTTTTTGAGACAGGGTCTTTGTAGCCTTGGGTGGCCTCACACAGATCTGCCAGTCTCTAGCTGTGCACCACCATGCCTGGCTTCATAGTTTTCTTAAGACTGGAAAAAGTGGTTTCAGGGGTGAATCTGAATAGAGAAACCTGCTTCTGAATGGAGTGTGGAATAGAGTGCAGAATGAATGGATTGCTGATTTGACTTCTGATGGAAACTGACTAGCAGGAGCAATTATCACTTAATGTGTGGCCATCAAGCACCCACTGTGACATGCCAGGTTTTATGTGAGTTCAGAAGACACACTTTTACTCCTAAGTTCCTTTGAAGTATCCAGGACACCTTGCTGCTAGTGAGGCACACTGTCTGCCTTGGTCGGGGAGGCCAGCGTCATCCACATCTGCTCTTTGCTGCTAATGATTGTGTGAGTTTCTGTCACTTGTGCTTCCTAGTATATTCTCACAGGAAGATAAGTAAATGCTGATGTTTGGAGGAAAATATTAATTGGAAGAAACAATTCCTCATTTAGTAACAAAGTTGATGTTGAACTAAGTGAGGCTTTAATAACATGGGCTTTCTGAGGACACACGCTCTCCTGACGAGCTTTCTCAGCACTTCAGACATGCCTTGGCATGGATGCTGCTGCTGCTGCTGCTGCTGCTGGAGTGTTGTTAATGCCTTCATTTGCTTCTTGACTCTTGCAGAGTTCCTGGAGACTGTAACCCTAATACATAAGCCAGTGTCATTGCAACCGCGCGGGCTGATCAATAAAGGAAACTGGTGCTACATTAATGCCGTATCCTTCCTGGATGCCATCCCCAGGACTGGCCACCATGGTGCTCACCTTCTCTCTGGGTGCATCTGACTTAGTGAAGCTGCCACAGGGCGGCTGGCCTGGACTCGGAACACAGACTGGGCCATCACCTGGTCTGCCTACCTCATAGTCAGTCAGACTCTTGAGCCCTGCTTCTCCACCCTCCGGAAGAGGGTTGATCTGGTGACCTGTGAGGGACAGAAAATCAGGCATGCTCTATTCTCATTGGAGTGGTTGTAGATAGTAGGATAGAACGACCACTCAGAACTGGAAGCTTTGCTCTAACTGGTGGGAGCATCTTTCTCAGCTAGGTTCTTGAATGTCACCCTGGCCCACAGCAGATCCTTACATGGCCATTACAAGGCAGCTGTCTTCTTATTTGGTTTATTCCTTTGTGTTTACGTATCGAAGTAGTTGAGTGTCCTTGGCTTATCTCGTTTTTATATGCCTTTAGGAAGTTTGCTGTGTCTGTTTCATTTCCTTTACACTTCCTTACTGCGACATTTAGACCCTGCAGGCATTGGTGGCTTGCCCTCCGATGTATCACCTGATGAAGTTCATTCCTCTGTACTCAAAAGTGCAAAGGCCTTGCACATCAACGCCCATGATAGATAGCTTGTAAGTAAAGTGCTCACATGTGCCAGTGGTTGGGGGGTATTCTCGTGGTGATGGGAACTTGAACAGTTTGGTAAAGGAGGTGCTCCCTGAGCTGAGTCCAGCCCTCTGCTCTTGATTTTCTACAGATAAGTGCTGGCATAGTCCCCTGCCCCCTTTTAATTTATGTGTATGAGTGTCTTACCTGCATGTATGTAAGTGTACCACATGTATGCAATGCCCATGGAGGTCAGAAGAGGACTTTGGATCCCCTGGAACTGGAGTTACAACCAGTTGTGAGCTGCCACATGGGTGCTGAGAACTGAGCCCTGGTTCCCAGCAAGAGCAGCAAGTACTCTGGACCACCTAGCTACCTCGCCAGCCTCTGGAAGTCTCTTTTAAAGGAAGATACTGTTGGGATTTTATATGGAAGTTAATCTGAAGTATAACTGAACATTGTGTTTCTCTGCCCTTCAGATTCAGCAGAAAACCTTGTATTGTTTGCCAGCTTAAAATATCACTTAAAAATGGTCCCAAAGTATGTGTAGATTAATGTTAAGAACCCACTGAGTACTGTCACATCAGCTGACATGGGCTGCACAGCTGCTGGTTAACGTGCTGTTGTGCCAAGGCCTGTTCCTAACATGTGCTCTGCTTCACTTTTCTCTGTGTAGTGTTCGGCTAATGAACGAGTTTACTAATATGCCAGTACCTCCCAAACCCCGCCAAGGTGAGTGAGCAGCTGTGATACCTTGTCATTGGGAACACGGAGCCCGGGAGCAAATGTGGTAAATGTGGTCTTGTTGGAAAGAAAATGCCCTTTTAAATCGAGGTGTTTGCCCTGTGCCAGTCTCACTTCCTGCCTGGGTGGTGGTGGGAGTTTGGGTGGCTTTGCTTTCTGTCCTTTATGCTGTCCTTTTAGTTACCAGAATGTCTGTTTCTCTTGCAGCTCTTGGGGATAAGATGGTGAGAGATATCCGCCCAGGAGCCGCTTTTGAACCCACATACATTTACAGACTCCTGACAGTTATCAAGTCGAGCCTGTCTGAAAAGGTCTGGGGTGTTCTGTGGCAGCTGGGAGGGGGCCCATGCCTGTAGTTGTAGCGTGTGGAGGCCAAGAGGACCTTTGGGAATTGAAGCCTAGCCTGGGCTACAGAGCAAGTTGCAGAAGAGCCGCAGCCACCGTCAGTGGTTGGTTGTTGCTCCTGTGAATGTGTGTCACACGCCCCATGCTGTAACTTGGTGCTGAGCTTTAGAGTGGAGTCGCTGAAGGCGTGTGTCCCAGTTACCCACATTTAATGGCACCAGGTACCAAGGATTGAATCTCACTAGCTCGGCCAACCCTGTGAGTTCAAGCTGGTAATGGGCAGAGCCTGGCTTTTGAGTCTGTCCCTTATTGCTGCACTGCACTTGGGTAGAGTGGAGACTCCTGGTCCTGGGGTGAGTGCCCAGCCTCCATGTATTCATGCTCAGGCTACAGCAGCTATTGCATCAACTTGCCTCTTGCTTTTTCCTAAATATTGCATATTGTGTTACTAAAGGCAAGTGAGCAAAGGAGTCAGGAAGCCTTACAGATGGCCCTGAGAACCATCGAGAGTGACCAAGGCATTTGTCTAGAGCAGTCAGCTGGTCTTTTCAGTTCCAAGTCTGTAATACATTAGCATGAACACTTCAGATGCTGTTAAAGCAAACTTACTCAGGAAAAATAGTTAGGAAAATGCCATTTAAATGAAGTGGTATGGAAGCTACATTGCTTTAAATAGAGTGAGCGTCCAGGTATACAGGAGAGACCCCAGCTGCACAGCTTTAACTTTTTAAATGCCTATGTCACAGCTTTTCTTGTTGGCTTGGACTTACATTTCCCACTACTTGGGATTCAGGGTGTTAGGGATACCCTACCAAGGGTTGGGATTAGAAACAGCCTAGGCAACAGAAAGAGAAGTGTGAGGATGACAACATGCAGATGCTATAGAACATGGATGAGACCAGGTGCCAGTGGAGCAGAGGTAGAGGGGTGCTCAGGGGCGGCTTCATGAAGCAGAGCCCCTCTAAGTTTGTGTTCCAAAAGAATGTTTATGAATAAAGCACTTTGGAAGTTACATTGGAGTTGACACTTTTAAGACCAACCTCAAGCTTGATGACTTCCTAGCAGGAGCTGGGGCATCTGGTGGTGTGGGCATAGTACTGCAGCAGACAGATGCAGAGAAAAACCTCAGGCACCCCTATTTGTGCCACCCCAATGCCCAGGCATGCTGCTGCTCATGGATTCCTCCAGTATTGCGTGGTGGCTTATGTGGTTGTAGAGACTCTTGGGGAGTGCCTCAGGAACTGTGTCACAGGCTCAGGAAATTACAAATGCCAAGGAGGAAATAGCACTTCAGTACAAAAAACTGCTTTGCTTTGTATAGTGTTAGACACAGTTCCTTATCCATTCATGGAGTGATGGAACTCTTTCTGAAGTCCAGGTTCTCAGATACCAGCCAAGGGCCAGCCCAGGCCTTTCCTGGGAGTGCAGCCCTATGCCTACTGTGTAAACTCAGCTGCAACGTGTGTGTGTGTGTGTTATTGTGTTTGGTGTGTTAGTTTGGGTATCGGCTATGCTAAATAAGTGTATGCAAGCAGTAGCACCTGAGCTCCACCCCACTCCAAGTCCCAGTCTCACTGAGTTGCCCAGGCTGGCTTTGAGCTCATGACACTCCTGTTTCTGCCTCCTGAGTAGCTTGTGTCCCCCATGCTTGGTGGGTTGTACCTCTTGCTGCACGTGTGCATAGTGTGCCACAGTCGTGCTGCCATGCTCGTGGACCCATTTGGAGAGTGTGTAGTAAACTTGTTTGCCTTGCTCAGAAACGCTAGGCACTGACTTGCTGTGTGAGTCCTGACTGGATAGAACCACCAGAGCTGTGTGGTGTGTGACTGGTGACTGCTGTCTCTGAATGATTTTGTTGGTAGAATTTCCTAACAGTCAGCTGATTGCTTGGAACTGTAGTTTTTTACTTATGCCTCGAGTCCTCTCAGTGTAGATGGAGATGGGGGCTACCAGTCACTGCTGAGTGAATGTAACTCAGGGCTTATGTTGTGAAGTGGCCCTCATGTCTTGTTCCTGGGCTGGGATTTTTGTTGTTGTTGTTGTTGTTTTGTTTTTTTCCCAAGGGAGGGTTTCACTGTGTAGTCCTGGCTGACCTGGAACTTGCTCTGTAGATCAGGCTGGCCCCAATCTCAGATCCCCTTGCCTCTGCCTCCTGAATGCTGGGATTAAAGGTGTGCACCACCAAGCCTGGCTGTTGTTATGTTATTTTTAACATTTTAAAGTAATATGTATGTCTAGGAATTCAGTTACACAAACAAGAAAAGCACAGAACAGACCTCATGGCAGCTCTTGGTACTTGCCTGCCAAGTCCGGAATGTCTCATCAGAGGTGTGGTGTGATCCAGGTGCTGAGTCCTGTGGGCCTCACTGCGGTGAGTTAGAATTAATGTGACCATGTCTGACCTCCTCAGGGCCGACAGGAAGATGCCGAGGAGTACTTAGGTTTCATTCTCAATGGGCTTCATGAGGAAATGCTGAGCCTGAAGAAGCTCCTCTCCCCTGCTCACGAAAGTAAGTTCTGTGTGAGACTGGTTTGCCCAACAGCAAAAAGGAAGATTGCGTGTCCATGTTCTCTCTCACACACCTGTCAGAAGTCACGTCTGTGAACAGTGCTTGGAGTATGTTAATAACGAGTGTTTTTCATTACCTTTAGTGTAGCAATGAGAAAGTTAGGTTTGGATAACTGGAATTTATCCAGCTCCATGCTGTTTTGCTTATCTTTTACTCCAAAGAGATTGAGGCCTCGGTTACTGTTCTCTTGCTGTGTAAAATATGGGTCCAGAGCCGAGGGTCTAAAGGGTTTACTTGGCTTACAGTTCTAGAGGGATAGATGGAGTCCATCACAGTGGAGAAGCATGATGGCAAGCCAGACAACTGCATTTCATTTACACACAGGAAGCAGAACATAGAGCCAGGCTGTAGACCCTCAAAGCCTGACTTCCTCCAACAAGGCTCTACTGCCTAAAGGTTCCAGATCCTTCCAAACAATGTCACCAGCCAAGAACTAAGTGTTTATTTAGCTCCATGAGCCTGTGGGGTACATTTCCTATTCACATGGCATCTGAAATACAGAAAAGCAGAACAAGTAGCGGGAGCACCTGCAGGAGTGGGCTCTCTCTGTGTGTGTATGCACCTTTCTCTCTCTCTCTTTTTTTTTTTTGGTTTTTCGAGACAGGGTTTCTCTGTGTAGCTTTGCGCCTTTTGCTGGAACTCGCTTTGTAGACCAGGCTGGCCTCCAACTCACAGAGATCCACCTGCATCTGCCTCCCGAGTGCTGGGATTAAAGGCGTGCGCCACCACTGCCCGGCACACCTTTCTCCTTAGTGATGCAGAGGTGGAGGGCATAGTCGAGTTGCTGTTTGGTGCTAAAAGCATCCTCTGAGGAAGAAGCCCCGCCCCCCATAACTACAGCACTAATTAGCCAAACCTGCTATAATTGCATGATTAAAGCCACTTTCCAGAGTGTCTTCAAATTTCTCCAGTTTTCCAAAGAATACCCCTAGTTTGTTTTTTTGTTTTGCCCCTTCCTCCCTTCCCCATACACACACAATTTTTCCTCTGTAACAGTCCTGGCTGTCCTGGGACTCACTCTGTAGACCAGGCTGGTCTCAAATTCTCAGAGATCCACCTGCCTCTGCCTCCCAAGTGCTGGGATTAAAGGTGTGCGCCACAGCCCTAGGCTTTTTTTTTTTTTTTTTTTTTTTTAAGTAGTTGACAGGCTTGGTTTTTTGCTGTTGTTGTTTTGGTTCTTTATATTTATTTATTGTGTATGTGTGTGGAGGGGTGGGTGTGAGTTTGTGCATGTGCAGTTGTGTATGTACACAAGGATTCCATGGCAAAGTGGAGGTCAGGATAATTTGTAGGAGTTAGTCTTCTTCATCATGTGGTACCAGGAATCAAACTCATGTTGTCAGTCAGGCCTAGGGCATGTGACTTCACCTGATGAGCTCTGACAAATCTTCACACCTGTGGGTCGTGACCCCTTTGGGGTTTGGACTACTCTTTGACAGGCTTCACCCTAAGACCATTACAAAACACAGATATTTACATTACAATTCCTAACAGTAGCATTGCAGTTATGAAATAGCAGACAATTATTTTATGGTGTGTGTGGGGGTCCCACAACATGAAAAACTGTGTTAAAGGGTCACAGCATTAGGAAGGTTGAGATCCACTGGTTTAGACAGTTCTTGCAAAATCTGCATTTGCTTGGATTTTTTGCTCTTGAAAATGGTAGCCTAAGCAGACACCCTTTCCTTTCAGAACTCAGCGTTTCCAATGGGCCCAGAAGCCACTTGATAGAGGACGAAGAGCAGGAAGACACAGGCGAAGGGAGTGAGGATGAGTGGGAGCAAGTGGGCCCCAGGAATAAGACGTCCGTCACTCGGCAGGCTGATTTCGTTCAGACACCTATCACCGGCATTTTTGGTGGACACATCAGGTTTATGCTTTTTCCATGTTGCTGGGGCGGGGTGGGGGTCTGGAAGCTTCTGGACATCCGCTTTGCCTGCTTTTCAGTTGCTCTTCCTACTGTCCTGCCCCCAGCGGCTGTGTGCCTCAGTGTTGATAGAAAGCCAGTTGACTTTGTTCTGGTGAAAGAAACTCATGTCTGATTGGAGGCATTGTATTACTGTATTGTAATAAATGGATTGCTTGTGTTTAAAGTCTATAGCATGAGGCTATGAGCAAAACAGTGGAGTGGCGGTCAGCACATCCTGCCACCTTCCTTGGTTCCTCTACCCCTTTTAGACAAGAGCAACTGTGCCCTACTCATTTAGTGTAAGTCCATCACATGAACTGTTAGCAGCTGCAGTCACCTATCACCAGCTCCTAGACCTGTGCACCCTACAGGTCTCAGGCTTCGTGCCCTCTGACCTTTACCCCTTCCTGTTTTCTTCCGCCATGTTGCATTGGTGATGGGTATTTGTGATTGACTGTTTAATCTATAGCAGAATGATCACATAGGGTTTTTCTTCTGTGTCCAGCTCAGTTCATTTAGTATGATGTTTTCCAAGTCTATCCATGTTCTGGCAGATGTCACGATCTCCTTTTCCAAGGCTGAGTAATACTCCTTGAGTATAATATAGACTTTTTCCATTTGCTTTTAGGTGGACACATAGGTTGTTTATCTAGGAAATAATTATGAATGGACTAGATGAATTTAGATAGCAGAACCTTGTGAGTTAGAAAGTAAAGTGAATAGAGGGAGACATTGGCAGGCAGGAGGATACAACCCCTGGTCTGTACCAGTTCTTCAATCAGTTTTCTGCTTGTTCACATCATCCTTCTGAAAGACTTTACATTAGAACATTTCAGTACTCAGGGTTTCTTCAAAAGCTCCAAACATAACTCCAAAGGATGATTTAGTGGACTTCAGTGTGTAGCAGGCATCTCCTGGGTGCTGTATTTGAAAGATGGCTCATTTCTCAGGTATCCAGAGCCAACTCTGCCTGCTCAGCAGCAGACTGAGCAGCTTTACGCAGAGAGTCTGTGCTCCATGCCTCAGAAGCTGCCTTGTGCTTCTGTGGCCCCCATGAGGAGGGCTGAGGAGCCAGTTGAGCTGCCCTGTGACATTGCCCAGGCCCCTTCTCTAGGGTTCTGGAGTCTTTGTGTAGCCAGGCCATCAGGTGTGGTCTGGGCAGTGCCAGGCCCTGCTCATTGTCACTGACTTGTCTTGGCAGACATGTCCCTGCCCCTGAGATGAGCCTCGGTGGCAGGGACAGCGAAAGATGACTGTGCCCTTTGCTGCGGCTGGAGTTAGCACTGTTGAACATGCCTCAGGGCGGTGAGGGCACAGTGGGAGTACAGGCAGCCATAGCGAGCGCATCCTTTGCACTAGGAACAGTGTTAAGCTGTAGGGCCACAGCCATCATGACAGATCTCGAAAGTGTCTAAGAGTGACAGTGGGGAAACCCAGGTTCCCTTTGAAGAGATTGCATCATGGCTGCTCGCCTCAGACTCTGGGGGTCCCTGGCCTCAGTGGTTGGGCGGAGGTTTTTATGCCGAAGTTCACTGTTTCTTCAAAAACAATAAAGCAGAGATAAGGAATTACTGTTGTTATTAATTTTATTATAGTCAGGGTTTCATGTATGCTGGGCCGGTCTTGAACTCACCATGTAGGTGTAACCATAGCTAAGGATGACCAAGTTTCTGCTCCTCACTCCTCCACCTCCCAAGTGCTGGGATTACAGGGATGTACAGTCTAACCTGGCCTATGAGGTACCAAGGATAGAACCCAGGACATCATGTAGACCAGCAAGTACTCTCTGTCTCTTGCCACATCCCTAGGCCTAAACAAGGAATTCTTTTCTGGTTTTGTTTTATGTTTTGTTTGTTTAAGACGAGACCTCTGTACTTGCCCATGTTGGCCTCAAACTCATGGCAGTCCTCTGCTTGAGCCTTACAAGTGCCTGGCTGATGAGGATTTCTGATGACAGAAGTGCGTTTAAATAGAATAATATTCGAGTAAAGAATATTCTGACTAGAGACCCTCCTCTTACTCACTCACACTTGTGGGTTTTCAGTTTCCCTAGAGAAAACACTTCTTTTTTGTCCTTTTCTGATCATGCAGGACTTTGGAGTAAAGGGGATCTTGATTTCTGCACTTATTTTCTTTTGGTTTTGCCAAGACAGGGTTTCTCTGTGTGACCCTGGCTGTCCTGGAACTCACTCTGTAGACCAGGCTGGCCTCAACCTCACATTCGCCTGCCTCTGCCTCCCAATTGCTGGGATTAAAGGCATGCACATTGCCACCCAGCTTTTACTTCCATTAATGCTTTTCAACTTTTTGGGAACACAAGGAGCATCAGTTGTTGCCTCCACACTCAGAAGGAAGGTTGGAGCATTAGGCCTTGACAGAAAGGCTTTCTGCTGGTTCTCATGGTATCTGGGCCGTGAAAGTCCAAGTCTCCTCCCACCAGCTTTACTCTGCTCATAAACTAGGACACCAGGCTGCACAAACAAGATCCTTTCTTGACTCTCGGAATGTTTCCTGGATGAGGTTAAATGAGAGATGAGATGAACTTGCAGTTATTACTCTGAAGAACTTAGAAAAAGAAAAAAGAAAAACCACCTAAGAAAACATGGTTGAGTTGGCGTCCTACCCACAAGGCTGGTTGCCTCCCTTCCTGGATTGCTAACCTGTTTTTTTATTATCCTTAGCTTGCTCCTCTTCCTCCTCATGTTGTTTTTAGAACAAAAGCAGTATTAAAAGTCCTGTTTCCCTGGAGATTTCCTCCATTTCATTAGAACAGGCTGTGGCAACACTTTGTTAAAGCCCTTTGGGGGGTCACATTGGTTAACTGGTGCTGCATTGTATTTAGAGGTGCAAGATAAGAATTTGGAAGTTGAAACATCTGAGTGGAGCTTGGGAACATTACTGATCAGTTGCTAATAACAGAAGGTGGTAGTCATCAGAGTTCTTCTTAAACTAAGAGTGCTTTTTGCTTTTTTGTTGTCTCTGGTCTTCTGGGACTGATATTGAATAAACTTATTTTGAATGTTTATTCCTTCTCTGTTGGTTAATCTTAAGAAAAAGTGACAAAGGGTGGCCTCTTACATCTTTTTTGTTTTCCATTGCAATTCTTAGGTCTGTGGTTTACCAGCAGAGTTCCAAAGAATCTGCCACTTTGCAGCCGTTTTTCACACTGCAGTTGGATATCCAGTCTGACAAGATACGCACAGTCCAGGATGCATTGGAAAGCTTGGTGGCAAGAGAGTCTGTTCAAGGTTATACCACCAAAACCAAGCAGGAGGTATGTTCCCCGTTGGCCAGAAGTCTGTATGGAGGCCCTCTAGGTGCTTGAACAGAACAGAATAGGGTAGCAGGAAGCTGATTGGAATCCACCTCCCACACCAGTGAGTTAACTTTACTGAGAAGTCCCAGAATTTCAGAATGGAGTGGTGGAAACAGATAGTCCCACAGTTCCTTCACTTACTCTTGTGGCCTGAGCAAACATCTCCTTTCTGTCCTTGACCTTGCTCTGCATTTCATATTCTGGCAGTCTAATCCTGGTATCCTGAAGTCAGCCTACCTCCAGCGGAGGCTGGGTTAGGATGTAAAGGGGCTTCTGGGCACATCTGTGTTGCATTTATCATAGATCACTAGGAACACTGACAGATGCTGCTCTTTGATGTGATTCAACAAGGATAAAGTCTTGAGTCTTTCTGTTCTCAACAGCCATGAGCTGGGGTTGTACTTTGGTCAGAGGAAGCTGTTATTTGGCTCTTGGTGTGCCTGTTCTTTTGGTCTGCAGTGGAGGCCATCTTCTCTATCATGTCTTTTATAGTCTGTGGCATTGAGGTCACAAGGCTGTCGTGGCAAGGTTAGGATTCAGCTGGCTAGTTAGGGTGTCACTTTTCTGAAGAATTCCTGCGATTGGAAAGCTGTAAGCACCTAGTGGAGTGTAGAAGTTACATTGTTAAGTGAGAGGTCCCAGCACAAATCCTGTCTTTGTGTGTGGCCCTGCAGAAATGTCCGTGTGACTAGTACACTGAGTAGAGAAGCACAAAGAGACCCTCTGAGGTCTCCTGCTCTAGTCAGCAATGCCACATTCTGGGGATCTGCAGAAGAAAGATCTAGGGTCCCACCATGTCTGACTTGTTTCTGGTGATTGGTTTTGTTTAAAGTTTAAGTACCAGGAAACCTGGTAGCTGGCTTGAGTAAGAAGTGCCTGGCTGAGGACCTTCACGCAGGAGAGGGCAGTAGAGACATCATGTTGAGGAGGCTGGTGGTTAAGTTTGTGTCTGGCTATGGGTGAATGCCAGCTAGGCTCAGCCTATATCAGCTGTGACTCTGCAAAGATGGATTGCTGTCCCTGGCTGCTGAGGGGACATGGTCTTCTGCCTATGTCCTGTTGGGAGGTTTCCCAGCCCTCCCTAGGCCAACCAGAAAAGACTCCTCTGTGGCTTTTCTTACTTTTTCATTTCTGCTGCAATTGAAAACTTGGCATCCGAAATTCCTCCTACTTTCTCTCCCTGCCCAGAAGTCCCACCTATACCTCCTCTCTTGCTATTGGCCATTCAGCTTTTTTTTTTTTTTTTTTTTTTTTTTGGTTTTTCGAGACAGGGTTTCTCTGTGTAGCTTTGCGCCTTTCCTGGAGCTCACTTGGTAGCCCAGGCTGGCCTCGAACTCACAGAGATCCGCCTGGCTCTGCCTCCCGAGTGCTGGGATTAAAGGCGTGCGCCACCAATGCCCGGCGGCCATTCAGCTTTTTATTAGACCAATCAGGTGCCTTAGGCAGGCAAGGTAAACAGATGCAATACATCTTTACATAATTAAACAAATGCAACACATCTTTACACAAACAAAATATTCCACAACATAGACAAATGCAGCACATCTTTACATAGTTAAACAAATACTCTGTAACACCTGACAGTGACAGTGGGTGTCTCTGACTCTTGCCTGCTTTTGGGACCCTTTTCTCCTGCTGGGTTGCCTCGCCCAACCTTGATGCGGGTGTGTATGCCTGGTCTTATTTTATCTTGTATCGTGTTCAGTTGGTGTCTCTGGGAAGCCTGCTCTTTTCTGAGGGGAGACAAGGGGAGCTGGGGGCCGGGAGTGGAAGGAGGGGAGGCTCTGGTCAGGATGCATTGTATGAGAGAAGAATAAAGCTATCTATCTATCTATCTAAAGAAAAAGAAAGAAATTATTCCTTAGTTTGTTGAAACTCCAGAACCGAGAATTTTAGTAACCATGTTTCTTTGAAAGTTTTTGGCTTTTGTTTTGTTTTGTTGTTTGATTTTTGTTCTTTGAGACAGGGTTCATGTGTGTTGCCCTGGTTGTGTGGAACTCAGTCTGTAGCCCAGGCTGGTCTTTAACTCAGAGATCCTCCTGACTCTGCCTCCTGAGTGCTGGGATGAAAGGTGTTCGCCACCACAGCCTGGCCAGTGGACTGGAAGTTAAAAGGTTAAAACCATGGCATCATGTACCTGGAATGAGTCTGGAATTTGTCATCTGTAGATTAAACTGTTGGTTTGTGCCCCTCTCAGCTTCCCAGCCCTTTGTTAGCTCACAGGTCTGTGTGAGGTGTTTGCTAGGTTTCTCACCTGGGGAGAGACAAGCGTCCAGCTCCCTTCCCCTAGGTCCTGCCAGATCCCGCTCCTAGTGGACTGCTTGCTTCAGTGACTTGCTGTCTTTTAGATTACTACTTACAGTTCTCTCTGTCTTCAAGTTAATAATGGAAATTTAAGGAAAGGAGTGACCAACTGAAGGTGCATTTAATGGAAAATAAACCCTGCACCAGGCATAGGCTGGGAACAGTACTGGGCAGGCAGGGCAGGCAAAACAGTGTGGCACCCGTGTTTTGTCTACACGTATGATTGTGTACCATGGGTACATTGTTGGGTCAGCAGGGCTTGCCACGCTCACCTAGGAATTTCACTCCATTAAGTCTTAGAGCTAATGCTTCTTAAGGATTTTTAAAGGCATTCAAGAGACCCGTGAAAGCACTAAAGGGCATATTGACAGAACCAGCGAGTCAGTGACAAGGACAGATGACTGTAGGATCACTCAGTGTTTGTCTGAAGAAAGATACTAGATAGCTCTATGAACGAAAGTGAAAAGACAGTCTAGTGCCTACCACTTCCAGCCTCTCCTCAGTTTGCTTGTGTTCTCAGTCTTTTAGTCTTCATGTGGAGGCCACGGATGGGCTTCAGACCTGAGGGCTCCCTTGCAAGTGTGTCTATAGGGGTGCAGGTGTGGCTAGGGTTGGGACGCAGCTGTGGAGCCCCCCAGAGGGTGCTGCTGCAGCCAGGCAGGCCTGTGAGCCCTGGCACACCGTATCACAGGTTGAAGTCAGTCGGAGAGTGACTCTGGAGAAGCTCCCTCCTGTCCTTGTGTTACATCTGAAACGCTTTGTCTACGAGAAGACTGGCGGCTGTCAGAAGCTGGTCAAGAACATTGACTACCCTGTGGACTTGGAGATCAGCAAAGGTAATGCCCAGCCCTGTGCTTGCACCAAGTCAGAGCTCTTTTTGCTTGAAATTTATTGACATTTGTGCATTTTTATACTAAAACTCTCATTAGTTTTTTAATTTTTTAAATCTGATTTACGAGTGTTTTGCCTGCACGGATGATTGTGTACCATGCACTTGCCTGGTGCTGGTGGAGGCCAGAAGAGAGCCCTGGATCCCCTGGGGTTGGAGTTGCAAGTGGCTGTCAGCTGCCGTATTGGTGCTGGGAATCAAACCCAGGTTTTCTGAAACAGCCAGTAGTCTTAACCACTGAGCCCTCTCTCCAGCCCACCTCTTTTTCTTTTTCCTTTTCTTTCTTTCTTTGGTTTTTCAAGACAGGGTTTCTCTGTGTAGCTTTGGAGCCTGTCCTGAAACCTACTCTGTAGACCAGGCTGGCCTCGAACTCACAGAGATCCTCCTGTCTCTGTTTCCTGAGTGCTGGGATTAAAGATGTGTGCCACCACCATCCCGCTCTTTTTCTTTTTTAAAGGCAGGGTCTCACTGTATAGTGCTGGCTGGCCTAGAGCTCACTATATAGATCAGCCTGTCCATGAACTCTCACAAAGATCTGCCTGCCTCAGCCTCCTGAGCGCTGGGATTAAAGATATGTGCCCACCCCTGGTTTAGAGTAGCTTTTTCAAAGATAGAGACAAAACTGAAGCAAAACATAATTCAACTAGATCAGAAAAGTAGGAGAAGGGCAGCTGTGAGGACCAGGTGGTGCTGGAAGTTTCTGCCCTCTGCCTCTAGACAGTGACATGGTGTCTGTGCAGCGATATATTGGCCATTGCTTCCCATAGGCCTTTGCGACTAGATGACGACAGCACATTGTTTTGTTTCATTGTAGATTTATTTTATTTTATATGTATTAGGGTTTTTATCTGTATGTATTTGGAACACACAGCAACCTGGTGCCCCCACAGATTAGAAGAGCTTGTCAGTTCCCCCAGCAGTGGAGTTACAATGGTTGTGAGCCACCATGTGGGTGCTGGGAACCATCCTAGGTCCTCTGAAAGAGCAGCCAGTGCTCTAACCGCTGAGCTGTCTCTATCTAGCTCTGACAGCATGTTTTAAAGAGCTCCACAGAAAGGTGCCCTACTGTAAATCTGCAGGAAACCACCTGCTTTTAACCTTTTTGTACGTGTGGGTAGGCATGCATGCCAGAGCACAGGTAAGTCAGTCAGAGGACAGGCTCAGGAGGTCAGATCTCACCTTTTCTCTGGGATCGTGCTATTGAACTCGGGTCACCTGTCTTCAGAGCAGGAACCTCTACCTGGTGGGCCAGCTACCTCACTGCTCCCTCCATTGTTCTCTCCCTGCATTTAAAGGATTTATGTGTCCCTGTGCACATGCCCTGGCATTATGTGGGAGAAGACCTCTTGTAGGAGGCAGTTCTCTCTGTCCACCATGTGGGTCCTGGAGTCTGGACTCTAGGTGGCAGGTACCAGCACAGAACAACTGCCCCTGAGGGCTTTATAGTTGTGACAAGCATCTTACTGCCAGAATGTGACTGGGAATGTGGAGAGCCAAGGCGGTCCACAGAATACATGGGTGTGGAGAGCAGAAAGACAGTGGTGTCCTCCATCCCCGTCTTGAAGAGATCCTCCTTAGTCTAGTCCTCTGTCCCCAGAACTGCATACCTGACTCCTGTGTCCTGATCCACGAGCTGGGTGTGCAGTTACCTCCAACCCCCTTTGGCTGTGATGGCACCTTTAGGTTCAGTCCTGGCACAGCTCTGGGCCAGGACCCATCCATCCCTGCCTGACCCTCTTAGTAGGTGGGTGTTGTTAGGCAGAACTCACCAGTCAGCGCAGCGGTTCTGCAGAAACCTTGTTGAAGTATTGCTGTTTTGTTTTTCAGAACTACTTTCTCCAGGAGTCAAAAATAAGAATTTTAAATGCCACAGGACCTATAGGCTGTTCGCAGGTGAGAATACTTGGCCACTGCTCCCTTAAACACAGCGGGCAGTGAGCCTGCATGGTACTAGGCAAAATTCAGCTGGAGTACTCTCGTGGAAAGTGGATCCTGGGAGAGCTGGAGCGTCTAGAAAGCAATTGGGTCTGACGTGAGGGAGGGTTCTCAAGGATTGGTGTCCCCGAGTCAGTGGCCTGTGGGTTCCAGTGGAGACACTCCCTTTGGAGGGATTAGGTGGGACTCTGTGGCAGTGGGGGTGAGGGCCTTTCCTCATGGTTGCCCGCTGGGCATTGTCTTCCAGTGGTCTACCATCACGGCAACAGCGCCACGGGCGGCCACTACACCACGGACGTCTTCCAGATCGGCCTCAATGGCTGGCTGCGCATCGATGACCAGACGGTCAAGGTGATTAACCAGTACCAGGTGGTGAAGCCGACTGCTGACCGCACAGCCTACCTCCTGTATTACCGCCGTGTGGACCTGCTGTAGCCCTGTCCGTGTGCCTGTGTGTGTGCCTGACGCTGCTTCCTACAACCCCAGCTCACTCACTCTCCCACCTCTCTAGTGGCTCTTTAGAGAGAAGCTCTCCCTCTGCACAGTGGGCTTGAACGAAAGGGGTGTCTTGTGGGGGAGGGTGTGCTTAGTGCAGCTCACGTTGACTTAACTTCAGAGACTGTCGCTTGATTGAGGGAAAACAAGACGCGGGCGGGGCTTCTGAGAACTGCTGGCTCCTGAGCGGAGGCGGTGGCTTGCACTGTCCAGTCTGATTGCATAGTGGAGTAAGTCCCGCACCAGCCGCTCTTGTAAATTTGTGAAAATGAATTTTATCTTTCCTTAAAAAATAATTTTTTTAATTCATCACACTTTCCTCCCTTGCCCTTTAGTTTTTGATAAACGATAAAAATGAGCCAGTTATCAGAGATGAGAGAGTTCTTACTTCAAAAGGAAATAAACACACAAAACATGTCGCTGGTTCCTAGAAGGAAACACATTTTAACAATTGTGAGGTGAAAACTGCTGACGTACACACTGCGGGTCAGACATTTGGAGTGCAGACATCAGGCTGCAGAGGTGGGTGATTGTAACTTGATTACCATGAAAAAATTTCAAATCGCATTCATGCTCTGTGTACACATGAAGAAAAGTGGGCGAAATAATGAAGATTGGCATTTCCCAATGTCTGCTGTGTAACCTCATGTCGCGCCTCTGACGCCGTGTCCCTAATTGTACACAGTGTAGTGATTCCTAGGAGTATAAAGTGTCACCCGTCAATAAAGATCACAGAGTTGGTTTAAAGCTATGTGTGGTTCTTGGTGTGAAAACACCTTCTCTAGAAGAGGCCTCCAGTCCTGCAAGCCTGCTCGTCAGCCTCTGGGAACTCAGCTGGGACTCTGGCTGTGCTGGGCTAATGCTGTGTTGATTAGTGTGAGAGGGCCTGGCTTTCCCTTTTGCTCCCTCTGATCCTGTGGCTTAGGTCAAGGGCAGTCTTACACCAGCTCCAGACATGGAGAAGAGGCCGCCGGCAGTAGGAAGTCTGCTGTTCTTGTGGCCCTGTGCACTGGGCTCTTCAGGGCAGGGCTCGCCGTGGGATGAAACCTGTTTTCTCAAGCTCCTTTTGTGAAGGTTTTCATTAGCCACTAGCTGCCCGCTCAGGTCCTACTCAGCTTCCCATCAGGACGTGGAACTGTGGCTCCTAGGCATTCTGGAAATCAGTCAGCAGCCAGAGGGATGCAAGCAGCTTGTTCTCTGTGTGGTGTGGCTGGGAGGATTGTGTCCTCTGCTGTACTCCTGACAAATCTGGCCACAGCGCACATGTGTTCCCCAGCCGGTGCTTGCTCTGTCTCGGCAAGAGGCTCATGGAGTCAGTCATAGGTGCCCTAGGTGACTTCCAAGTGTATAAATGTCCTGTGTGTGTACAGGAGACATTTTCCCCTCAGCGTCACTGTTGTGTTGTGTTGTCCGAGTTAGTAGTGTATGTTTTCTTTAGCACAAAAGTTTAGAAATGACTGAACTTTGGGACTCCATCTGAAGACCTTTGAGCAGTGAGCAGAGATGGCGTGAGTCCAGCGGGGTAGGGCACTTGGTATCTTGACCAGCTAGGGGCATGTGGTGGTCTCCCTTCTCGGGGCTGTCCCTGTGTGGTGTCCCTTTTATGTGGCCAGTGTTGTTTGTTAGGAAAAACTCTGGCTTTGAAGGGCACTGGGCTTAATTTAACCCACTCCTGATGGCGCTGCTGTAACAGATACCATAGAGTGTTTTCAGACAGCAGCCGTAGGCCGAGTCCAAGGCGGAGGGGCCGATTCGTTGTCTAAAGACCCGCTTCCTGGCTTGTAGACACTTCAGTCATCCTCCCGAGTCAGTGTGAACTCCAGCTTTCTCTTACCAAGCCCCTAATGGTTCCTCCGGGGTTTAAGGTTCTGGCATGTCAGCATTTGGAGAGGAGAACGTAGGGGTGGACCAAAGCATTGCTTAACTCGAGAGTCTTTTCAGATTTTACGCATGTTAATGTATTGCCTGTGTGCGTTTATGTGTACCAAATCCACACCTGGTACTTGATGTACTTCAGAAGACTGAATCAGTCTGGAACTGGAGTTAGAGATGGTTGTGAGCCACCATGTGGGTGCTGGGAACCGAACCCAGGTCCTCTGCAGGAGCAGCAAGCTCTTTTCTGAGCCATCTCTCCACCCCAGATGGGTTTTTGACTTCACCCCAGTTTTCTATTGTCTAGATGAGGCATACCGTATGGTCCGGGAATGAAGACTGGTCAGCGTTTTGTCCATGGGTCGAGAACTCCGATGCTGTTTACTGTAGTCTGTAATCCTGCCTCAGTGTTAGTTGTTAGCTTCCCGGTGGGCTTCCCTGGCTCCTGGTCAGTCATATCAGAACTTCCTGCACACTTTGCTGTCAGGACTTTGGATGTCGACGTTTTCCTTCGTTCTCAGTGTGTCGATGTCTTTAAGTCAAGGTGAATGCTGAGGTGATACCAGTCTCTCTGGGACTGGCATTCAAGATTGGAAGCCCCAAAGCCCCAAAGGAGTGTGTGGGCCAGATGGCAGGGGCTCTCTAGGATGCTCCCTGGAGTTCTACATCAGGGTCTCTGTAAATCTGACCTTGGGTTCCTAGCCCGTGCTTTAAAGAAACACTTTTTATGTGTATGGGTGTTTTGCTTGTATGTATGTCTGCACCACATGAATGCCTGGTGCCTACAGAGGCCAAAAGAGGGCATCAGCTCTCTTGGGAGTGGAGTTACAGATGGTTGTAAACTGCCACATGGGTTCTGGGAATCAAACCTGTAAGAGCAGCCAGTTCCCTAACGGAGCCGAGCCTGCCCTTCAGCTCCCCCCTAACTATATGTCAAATAAAGCAGCAACTCATAGCTTCCCCCCAATATTTCGATATTTTTTACATTTAAGATAAACTTTTTCTGCTAAAATAAATTGCATGAGAAGTGGAGCGGAGTGCCTGGATTCTTGCCCGAGGCAGGCAGCACCTCTGGACTTGGCAGCACCGCACGGCTGTTCCTGTGGGTGAGCATTTCTTGCTCCTTGAGCCTGTCTGCTACTGCGAGGCTGGAAGGCTTCCACATCCTCGGCTCACATTCTCCTGTGTGGTCTGTAGCCATCTGCTCCTGCGCTCTGCAGAGAGAGGATGCCACCTCTCAGCTCTCCCGTGGCGTTTTCTGACCCTGTGCTGCCAGTGATGCGCTTGAATGGGACCCCCTGGGGTGGTGCAGCCCACTGACAGCTGCCATCCTCAGGTCAGTCCCGGGACACCGCCTCCATGCTGGCAAGCTGGGTCAGAGCGCTACAACGGCTAGCCTCCCCTGTGGTCACCTGCCGCATGTGTCTAACAGGTACCTCCAGCTTTCCTGCCTCCCTCCCACTCCAGGACACCGCTGCTGCCTGGCATAAAAGCTCTGTGATGCTTGTTCTTGAAGCAGGCTTGAGGCTTGTGACCTGGGACCAGTCCTGCCCTGAGGCCGTTAGCACACGTAGCATCTGCTTGAGACTTGGCACTAGCCTGCCTGTGCCAGCCACCCTGCAGTGCTGAGGGCAGGTACTCACACCCTTTATGACCTCAGACTGTTAAGGGAGCTAGTCACTGACAGGGCTACGACTCAGAGGGTGTTCAGAAGCTGGTGTAGCAGAGAAACAAGATGTGGGCCACAATTCCCAGAGCTGCGACAGTCCCACATACAGCAGTGGCTGGGGACTGAAGATGGGTGTGGAGCCCGCCTGGTGAGCTTGGGTGCACTACTTGGTTTCATCTAAACAGCCAGAAGCAGCACCCTCCCTCCCACCTCTTGTGGTATCATTGTGAGCATAGCGGGTCCTCAATACTCAGGCCTCTGTGCATTAGAGACTTCTCATGTCTAGGGGCACAGCACTCCTGTTTTGAATTGAAGGTCTCTTTGTGTAGCCCAGGTTGAACTTGAACTCATGATCCTCCAGCCTCAGCCTCGTGTGCCAGTTCAGGTGCTTACTACCATACCTGGCTCTTGATCTTGGTTCTGATGGTAATGATCTTTAATGCCAACCAAGGAGGAAACAGGCCCTACTGGAAACCACAAAGTCAGTGGATAGATGCTTCTCCCTACTTGGGTAGAAAGCTAAGCTTGCTCTTCATGGAATTCCTTGCCAGGTCTCACCAGGGCCTCCCATCACCCATTTTGCCCTGAGCTACAAAGGTGGGCATAAGCTGCACTAAGCAGATGACCTATGTGGTCTTTGATCGTTAAGCAGTTGTTGACACTCCTGAGAGGGAGTGGCACCTTTTTTATGGAAAGGCCGAACCCTGGAAGGTTTGTTGCCAGGGTGGTGGTGTGTGCCTGCTGACTGGAAGGAAGTGATTTAGGAAACACTGAAGACCAAAGCAACTGCCCTGACTCCACATGTTCATATTCCCGTTTACCTTGGAAAACCAGAGTCTGAAGCTCCATTTTATGTAGTAAATGCAACAAGTTGGCTCAGATGTCCAGTCCTACTCAACAGGCTGCAGGACCCCGAAGCCTTGCCCAAGTCCAGGCCTGGCTGCCTGACCCCTGAGCGCTCAGTCTAGGTGCTGCTGGCTTTAGGATCACTCTCCTGTGTACCCATCCCCCACACCTTGTAGGGTAACCATTACAGATGTTTCTCCAGGGCTTTTTTCTCGCAGTTTAGCCACTGGTGGGGTTGGATTTGAGCTTCCATCAGCAGCATCCACAGCCAGCACACCTACCATTCCTTAGACATTCATAGCGTTCCTTTTGGCTGCCGAGGAATGTCCCCACACCTGTGTTTCCTGTGTGTGATGGACTTGCTTCCAGTGATGGCTGCTCCTGATGTTCTTGAGTTCTTTAAGGTGCACACAGCATGTTTTCAGGCTGTAGCAGGAATCTTAGAAGGTCTTATTAATAAAATCAAACCTGAAGCCAGGTATTGGGGTGAATGCTGGAAGATCAGAGAAGCAGAACAAGCCACAGCCACCTCACCTTGCCAATTCCTCAGCTGATTCTGTTTCCTCAGCTGGAAGCCTCTGAGTCCTCTTCCGAATGGGTCTCATCTGAACTGTTGCTCAAAAGCCTAAAAGCTTAACCAGCCAAATGCTTAACCAGCCAAATGCTTCTAGTTTCTGGTCTTCACGCCTTATGTATCTTTCTGCTTTCTGCCATCACTCCCTGGGATTAAAGCTCACTTCCTGGGATTAAAGGCGTGTGAGCACCATGCCTGGCTGTTTCCAGTGTGGCCTTGAACTCAGAGATCCAGGCGGATCTCTGCCTCTGGAATGCTAGGATTAAAGGTGTGTGTGCCACTATTTTCTGGCCTCTATATCTAGTGGCTGTTCTGTTCTCTGACCCCAAATAAGTTTATTAGGGTGCACAATATTTTGGGGAACACAATACCACCATATCAGGCATGCTCAGGAGTGGACCCGCAGCACCTGGGGCTTGCAGCTCAGCAGGAGCCGACGATGCTTGGTTACCTCTTCTAGCTTATATCTGCAATGGGGGACTCTGGTCAGGAATTGAAACCGGCTGCAGGGTAGGGCAAACTGATAGGACCTCCAACCACACCCCATGGTCGTGCATGCCCGGTGGGACACTTAGTCATCTCCGCCTAGTCATTTCCAGGTCCTACGTCCTGCGTGACCCATGCCCCATATTATGAGCAGTCACGTAGTCGCATGGATGTGACCTCGTGATCTCTGTGCATGGGCCTGTGTGCATAGGTGCATCCTGGCCTCTACAAGGTGGTGCCATGTCGTCGAGTTGCCGTCCCCCCCCCCCTTTCTCCCACATGTCCTTCCACAGGCCGGAT